GCCCTCTGAGGTAGTACTCACTATAGCCCTGGCCAATGAAAATCTACTCCCAGTGATATCTGCACTAATAATGCCTGCACCAGTAATACCAGCCCCTGTGGAACTTTCACAAATGCTTTAACAAAAAAGAGAACCTTTAGTGGTCAATAGTCTGGAACCATATGATATTGCACAAAACCTACTGAATAAGAAAGCCGATATCATGTGGGGTCAAATATTACAATATGCAGACTAGCAATGTAATTTGGCAAATATGTTAAAAAGGCCTCTTGTGCCAGTAACAGTCACAAACCCTTTGGTCACTTCAGAAGCTATAGAAGTAACTGCTATACAAACTCCTGCAATCAAAAGAACTACTGCTGCTCGGTGTTATATTAGGATTAAAAATTCTCCAGCAATTGCTATGCTTAATACTGTACCACTATAAGCATCATATCTAATAAAATGATAGATAAGTTGTAGTTAAAATTGATGGACCCTTCACTATACAAGTCGTTGTCATTAATGGAACTAAAGTATAAGCCCTAGGAAAGATTACCAATTTTAAATTGGTTTTTAAGAATATCATAGTACCAACCATGTTTCAGATAATTGAGTTAACCAAATGTTTTCTCCTCTTGAGGATAGATTGGTTCTTGCAAATAAGAGCCCAACTTCATGCTGATAAGAGAAAGCTATATATGTAATCTCAGAATAAAATTGTGGAATTACTGATATTTTTTGAAGCCAAAGTTTTACCAATTCTACCACCTATATTTGTTAAACCAGAAGTATCAGAAGAATTAGAAAACCTGGGTTCCTTCAATAACTTTGAATTTGAAGATAAGATTTTAAAAAAAGTCAAAAGATACCTAGCTAAGTAATGTAATGAATTAGAATTATATAAAAACCTCTAGCTTAATTATGAAAGTCTCTCTGTGTATCTAGCTAGCACTAAAAGTGTTTTAGTGAAAAAAATGAGAAAGAAAAAGGCATAATAGAAAAACTGCAAACCAACCTTGATGATGAAACCTTGACTAACAACTAATGAGA